ATGTGTGTATGTGTGTGTTTATAAACACATTCACTTATAAAAGACATGTATATATTAATATATTTATTAACATATTTATAAATAAATATGTTAATATTGCATTTTTACATATATATATTAATATAGTTGAAAAAATATTTAGATTTTTTGTTTTTTATATTTTCTTTTAATAATTTATTAAAATTTTCAAATTTTGAATTAGACATCCCTATTTATGGGTTTGGGGATGGGCTACCTAGTTGTGTAGTCCCTTGAAATTAAGAAAAAAAAAAACAACTAATAAGAGAGGCCTCCCCAATCTCTTTTAAGATTAATTTTAAGGGAAAATTTCAGTTTAGTACCATGAATTTTGGGGGTAGTGTCAAGTGAGTATCCAAACTTCAAAACGTGTCATTGCAATACCCAAACTTTTGAAAACTATCAATTTAGTACTCGTTGTTAGTAGTCCGCCAATTAACTGACGCACATAATGTCACGTGTGATTTTATAAAATTCTGAAATTCCAAAATTACCCTTTTAAAGAAGACACTATTCATTGTCTTCTTCATTGAAATTGAAACTAAACCAAAGCAATAATGAACAATAAGAGAATGATCAAGTGCTCTTCGACAAGTTAGCCAAAAAACACTTTACGTACCTAAATGAAGCAGACGCCCATGGCTCCACCATTGAGCAGTCGTGTTCATTGTAGTCCGGCCGATAGTGCTCCACTATCCATAGTAGTTCTTGGAGTTATACGCCTTCAACATGGTAAAAAACGAACCCAGGTTAAACCCATACGAGCCAAACCACTGTAAGAAGATATCCAATATGACCAAGGATGCGTTGTGACCATGCAAAGCTATAGATCGACCAGTGTGATCAAACTGACCAATTCTAGGCCCTTCAATGAGAGCACCCAAAGCCTGGCCATACCTCCAACAAGTAAACCACACCTGATCCGACGAAGCCGATGACTCTAGATCTGAACAACAAGTTATCGTTATGGGAGGCACTGGCCGAACCGTTAGCCGACCATAACCAATGAAACACGACCGGGTACACGAAACCCGTCAAGAAGGCCAAGTAAATGAGGTAAGCGACAAACTGAGTTCTCTCTGTTATAGAGCTGCTAGTGATCCCGATAGCAATGATGGCAAAAGCCCATTGATACAGGAAGTTACTATAATCGAACAACTCTGAAGGGAACACCTTCATGCCGAAGAAGTGACGACTGTCAGCACCCAATTTTTGCTCGGTCCCTTCACCATACCTTTTCGTACCCTCCTCTTAGACCCCAAAAACTCGGAAACACAACCAGATCAACTTGAGACTTTCTAAAACCCAAACTACCATCCTTTGACATAATCCATGGGACGAATTAGACCCTTGAGATCAACACTAATGTCCGAAAAGACATCATCCTTAAACTTGGAAAACTATAACTTAGTTACACATCAACTGCAAAAATCCACCATTCATCACACCAACTTCTTTTCTAATGGCCCTGATCTATGCAATATTCAAATTCTAATTCCTCCAAAATCAAATCCAACATATCCATCACCTCAAGATCACTAGGAAACAATCAATTAGAGAATCCCAACATGAATCTATGACAACCAACCACAAAAACATCAAGATCCTATTTTTATGGCCCTGAATGATTACTAAGATTGACCATATATTTTTTAGATCAGAATCATCCATTTGACTCCTCACCCTAATCCATGCCTACTTACCAAATTGTAGCTCAAAATTTTCTCGTTTGACCCCCATTAAGCCTAGATCCTATTTCAGCAAATCTCATTAATAATAGCTTAGCATCTATCATCCCAACTTCATATGACCAATCAAACCTTACCATTGTATTCAGAGACCCAAAATACCCCAGCATGTCAAATTTCACGACCAAACACCTTCATCTGACCGCTGAAAAAGTAAGATTACATTTTGAGCCCTCTCGTTGATTAGAAAACCATAAGCTAAGACCATGATCTGAACTAAATATGTTAATCCACTCCTCTGATCAAAGATCCGTAGCTTCCATTAGATTTGAGACAATCAAAAGCAAGGTTTTTAAAATCGAACCGGATAATGAACCGATCAGGGGTTCGGTTCCTGGGTCAAATGGTCCGACCATTCGAACCGAATGGACTGCCCATTCTAACAAAAAAAAAGGCCAAAACTGTTGGAGGGTTTGATCGCCTAGGTTAGTGGTTTGTTGACCAAATCAATGGTTTTTTGTGAAATAATGGTTCTCCTGACCTTATTTGACCAATTAGACATCACCATTGTGTTTAGAGTCCCAAAAAAATCTAGCACGTCAAATTTCAAATCTTAATTCATCCGTTTGACCGTTAAACTAAAAAGATGTCATTTCGATGCATCAGATTGAATCGCCACATCAACAGTCCCAACCTATGACCTCAAGAGGGTAGGGACAAATTTCAACCCCTTACTTCACAAATTACAACATCTGGACCAATGAAATCGAGCGTAATAGACCCAAAAACCAAAAAACCCAAAGGTACCCCCACTTAAAGCTAAGAAAAGACAAAACCACATTTAAAAGTCCATCAAATTTACATTTTCTGCCATTGACAGCCCCATATACGAGACTACCATGACAAGCATGCCCCAAGCTCCCATTGGACACACGAAACCCATGAAAACCACCCCTAAATCAAATAAAACATTTCACCAAAGAAGAAATCTTGATTGATCACCTTTTTCTTTGAAGAATCCTTACCTATTTTTGTGAAAAAGCTTTCTTGAAGCCCAATCCTTGTGATTGGATGAATTTCAGATATCATCCTCTCAATTTCTTTATAAATACTAATATAACTCAAGCTCAAAGGAGAGGCCCCACAGAGAGAGGGGGCCAGAAAGGAGGACAGGGAAGAGAGAAGAGCTTTCTCCCAGCCAATATACTATCTTCTGTTCACTTGAAATTCGAAGGTACTCTGAACCTCTGTTTCAAACTTGCATCCTCCATTTTCAAGTGGAAGTTGTTGCAACCAAAAGCACTCCTTAGCTCAAGAATTCATTTAAACTTCATTCTATCTCATCCTTAGCTGTTGAAAAACTTTTAACAAGGTACATACGAAAGATAAGTCTTTCATTTTTTGAAGTTCTGAAATGTTGGTGAACCATCATTTGAAATTTCTTCTTGATTGAGAATAGAGGCAGAGAGGCGAGGGTCTTAAGGAAGTTGAAAGCATGTTCATCCAAATTTAAGAACTTTCTGCAACCATTTTTGCTTTTCTTTGTTAGAAATCGAGCCTAAACAACTCCCATATTGGGCTGCTACAGCAGTTTGGAGAGAGGGGTGCCTAATACCTTTCCTCTCCTAATCATTGGGACCTGAAATTTCTCAGTTGTGTGTCTTTTCCCATGGAGGATGGAGTCGCTATCAAAGACAAATCAAATTTTCAAATTTGAAAATGAGGGTCAATTTCCTCTAAAAAATGGGTGGTGACTCTATTTCTTTGAGCCAGCCATGAACTTCCCGGAGCTCACAACGACCAATGAAGTTGTTGGAAGGAGAACCGAAGGCAAATGTGAACCCAAAGAGATAGTAAAATAGACCATTGATGACCACACCAAGCACGTTAGTGAGCATTATGTTCATGATGTTCTTGGCACGAACGGAGCCAGCGTAGAGCATGGCGAAGCCCAGTTGCATAGCGAAGACAAGGTAGGCCGAGAAGAGCAGGTAAGTGTTGTTGATGGCATGAGCTACATCCGTGAAACTATTATGCACGGCACTGAACTGCCTACAGATGTAATCGGCAGCGGTAGTGGTGTTAGTAATGCCATTTAAGAGTGGGACGAGATCAGATGCCACACAAGTCAAAGACGCCATGGTCAGATGTCTAGAGAGAGAGAGAGAGAAACACATAAGAAAATTGAGGTATTGAGTCCTACGACTTCAAAGAAATATTGGCCCTCAGGAACCATTTTTATAGAGAGATTGAGCGAGATACACACCAAGCCAAACGAGAGGATTTGACTCATGTTTTGACTTCGCTTAGGTACGCAACGTGATTTTTGGATGCCTTTAGGGGTAGCAAAAGTATTTATTTAGTTTATAGAGAGACTGAGCGAGATACTTTTCATGCACAATTCATTGTCTTCTTCCCTATAAAGAAAATTAGATGACATCCAAAGGGCATTTGTGTCATTTCACATGTCGCTTAACTCTGTTAACTGTTTTAGACTAAATTAACAGTTTTTGAAAGTTCGAATATTGCAATGACACATTTTGAAATTCGGGTACTAACTTGACACTCCCCGCAAAGTTCAAGGTACAACTGAATTTTTCCCTCTTGGCCCTGCTTAGGTGTCTCATCGTTTCAATAGGAAAGAGCCTGAAAGCCTGAAAGTCTCCACTCTACTGCATCAGGTTCAATATCAATCAACCTCTCCATGTAGTATACACACTTCAAGGAGCTTCTACACTTCTCAATACACCCTTACAGAGGATGTATCAAGGTTTTGACCGGTTCAGGGGGTAGATGGACCTTAAAACGGCTCCTCTGAACTAAATTTGAAAAAAAAAAAACTACCGATTAAGCGTATCGATGTTTTGAACCTTGCTTCAAATACATCTCCTCATTCTCACCTTTATCTTTATTCCTTCCCGTCCAATAGCACTCCCATGAGAATAAGAGAACAAACCAGTAATGTAGCTTCCTTTTCCATGCAGATTATTGTAGTATCACAAACCCAAGATTTGAAACCAATTAATAAATAGAGAAATAGAAAAAGAAAAGAAAATAGAGCAAAGCATACAAAGATTTAAAAGATTTAAAGTGGTTCAGCCTTGTTTACATCCACGGAAGGAGCAGAAATCCACTGTAACAACAAATATGAACAGCCTCTGTGTCTCTCAAACCCTAGTGCCCTTTACTCCTCAAATCATTTCTTTCAATCTGTTTTCTAATGTCGAATCTTGGAAATAGGTACCATATATAAAGGACTCAAATAAGCGAAAACAAGTCAGATCCGTAAGCCCCCACTCCCCTTGGCCTTGAGGAGGACAGCCCAAGCCCTCCACATCCACTAATCACTATAGATTTCCCCCTCAGGTTCTCATCAACAAATGTTGTGGCGGGTCATGGAACGGGCTGCAACCAAGAGTTTAAGGCACATGGTTGGAATTTGGAATTAAATTTTTTTGAACTGGGTAATTGAAGAATCGATCAATCGATGAAGGCTACCCAACATTTGTTGATGAGTATGAATCGATCAATCGATCAATCGATGAAGGCTACCCAACATTTGTTGATGAGTATGAATCGATCAATCGATCAATCGATGAAGGCTACCCAACATTTGTTGATGAGTATGAATCGATCAATCGATCAATCGATCAATAGAGTCTGAAACGAAATGAATGTTACCCATCTTGAGTGCGCTTGTGGGTCGGAATTTGGGATTAAAATAGAATGAACTTTGATTGAGAATTCGAGATTTGAGAGAGTTCCTTTGCATCCATAGAACAACCTATATTAAAACTTTGGGATTATGGGTACCTGTTTGAGACCGAAGTGAAAGACTATCCATTATTGGTAGCAACCCATTAGGCCATTAGCAGAGCAGAGCTGCAAAGGGGCTAAGGGAGCAAAAACAGAAAAACAGGGTAAGCGGGATTTAAGACCATTTAACAAAACAGCACGAGCAGCCGAGCAGGCAGCACCGCCAACAACAGTAAAGTTTAGGTGGGGTCCTGGCACCGGCCTTGGCCTGGACCAGGCTTTGGATGGCTCGACCCATGTGCACTCTGTAGGGAATTGCCTTCCTCCAATCGCAGCTCAAGGATTGCAACCATCGATATACATCGCAATACATTATTCAGGTGAGCAGATCTCAGGGACACTATTCTCCTTGCTGAAGAAGTAGGAATAACTCAGAACTCTCTTTGTAGATCAGAGAGATTGAGTAAGAGCTTCTGGTGGGCGGAAACCGCTCTCTTCTTCTTCTTCTTGGTTTCTTGAAATGGCGTATCTACTTTTCTCCCTCTAGTTTTGATCCCTTCCCTTTCTTTCTGTAAACGCTAAATGACTCTTCCAAAGAAGAGACTTTTCCCTCTCTTCCTCCTTTCTCTCTTCGCTCTTTTCCTTTACTCCTACTATCACTCATCTCTCCATCTGTTCTCCTCTCACAGTTTCAATTCCAATCCGACAACCCTTTTCCCTGCTTCCTTAAATCACCTCCGAAACTCTACTCTGGTCTCTCCAAATTTCAGTTTCACCATTAAAGTTCTCGCTTTTGATCGCATTAACTCGCTCTCTCGGTGCCTGCATTCTCTTGCTAATGCTGATTATGGGGATGACCGGGTGAATCTCCATGTGTTCATCGATCATTTTAAGGAGATCGATTCAGGAGAAAGGTCTGCGGACTTGGACAAAAAGCTCGATGAATCTCATCGTATGCTGAATTTCGTTGATGGGTTCTCGTGGAAGTTTGGGGAGAAGCTCTTGCATTATCGGACAGGGAATGTTGGTTTGCAGGCACAGTGGCTGGAGGCCTGGTGGCCCTGTTCCGACGATGAGTTCGTGTTTGTTGTTGAAGATGATTTGGAGGTCTCGCCGCTTTATTATAAGTTTCTCAAAGGCATAATTGTTAATTATTACTATAATTCTTCAAACTTCAGTCCTTCAATTTATGGGGCTTCCTTGCAGAGACCGAGATTTGTTGCAGGTAATTTTTGCCCAGTTTTAACTATTATTAAGAAAAGAAATAACTTTCTACATTGCACAGTCCAATACCTATGAAACTAAAATCAAGTTTGTTCAGATGGGTGGATACATCTTTACTGGAAGTGAGTATTTTTGCTTGATATATAAACAGTTCGACCTGAGATTTTACCATTGGACCAAGCAAGCAGAAGTCCCTGCATGTATAGTAGACAAATAACCAGCATTTCTTGTTCAGATGGGTGGATACATCTTTACTGGAAGAGAGTGTTTTTGCTTGATATATAAACAGTTCGACCTGAGATTTTACCATTGGACCAAGCAAGCAGAAGTCCCTGCATGTATAGTAGTCAAATAACCAGCATTTCTTGTGTGTGTGTGTCTGTGTTTTGATTTTTATTTAGGGTATTTTTCTTCCATTAGCATATATTTTCCAACATCATGCTACCAGTACCAAAATTGGCACTGCCTTCTAACTTCTAAGCACTAACCCCTGAGTTGATTATCTCTAGGTAAACATGGGAACAAACTGCAATTGGACAATGGAACTCGACTTTTCTTGTATCAGTTGGTTGGCACATGGGGTCAGCTTCTATTTCCAAAGCCCTGGAAAGAGTTCCGTTTGTGGTATGATGAACATAAAGCCAAAAGCATCAAACCAGTGCTGCAAGGAATGGTAATTAAATTTCTCTACACCTTCAATTTTGTCCCTTGGGAAGCTTAAGAAGAAAACCTTGGACTACATCTTTTCAATTGGCATGCTGCTGTCAGGTTAACAGGGAAATAAGATTGTATGATCAAAGTGCTGTTACCACTTACCAGTGTAAGTGAGTTTGTGTGTGTTTGAGTGCATGTGCTGCAAGGAGATCAGCCATGTTTAGCCTCTAGAGAGGCAATGTATCATTCAGTGAAAATAGAGACAAGCCCTTATTTACTTTGTTTATGTTGCGTTCTTCATGTGTCTGGTAATTTCTTTTCATTGCCCTGTTGCTAAAAATAGTTGTTTTTGTTGTCCTGTATGCTATGGCAGGTGACAACAGGATGGTACAAAAAGATGGGAGAGAGAATATGGACTCCTTGGTTCATTAAATTCATACAGTCTCGTGCCTACTTCAATATTTACACCAACTTTCTAAATGAAAGGGCCCTCAGTGTCTCTCACAGGGATGCTGGTGTTAACTATGGCAAGACAGCTGGACCAGATTCATATTTGATAGAAGGAAGTTCTTCTGATTTGAACCTTTTGGAGATGCAGCCTTTGAGCATTCTTAAATGGTATGATTTCTGCTTCAGAGAAGTGTTGCCTGGGAGAGTGGTAACTAATTTTGATGAATTGAGACATGTACTTCACACTGTGCAGAAACAAAAATCCATTATACTTGTAGGCTTATTTAGGACACCCCAAACCATCATTAGGAATCTTCTATGCCACTTTGAGAGACTGGATATCCAGAATTACATCTTGGTTGGCCCTGAATCTGAGTTCTTACATGATCTTGCAAGGAGAGGAAATCCTGTAATCAGTGCACAGAAGTTACTTAATGATATCAGAGGTCATAAGGTGATGGATTTTCAAGGATCAGATGCAGAATTGATTAGTGAAGTTTTGGTTAAGGCCTATGTAGTAAAAAGGTGTCTTGATTCTAGTTACAATTCTTGGGTTATAAATGGAGATATGGTCCCACTTAAAAGTGATTTATTTTCTGATGCAAACGAGCAGTTGTATGATTTCTCTGCAGGAAGGGACTCAGATATTCTGTTTGTTAAGGGTTCATCAACTGCTTCAGGGATTTGGATTGATGATTTTATTTACAAGGTCGCAGAAATGGCAAATTCTTTAAGGGGCGGAGGTTTTCCTTCTAAAAGTCACTTGCATTTTGAGGGTATTGCTGCAAAATCCTTGGAAGAGCATGGAGTCAGGATTAAGAGGTTGGATGAAATGAGCTTCGCTATGAAAGTTGAAACAGGTAATACAAATCAAACTGTGGCTGAGGACAGGAAAAGGATAATCTTTTGGTCTTCTGAGATGGATTTGGATAATATTCAAAAGAGGCTTGAAGACTTGGGTATGTGGATAGTAGATGGTGACTCTTCTTGCACAGCTGTTGTCTGCCATCAGTCATAGAATTTGAATATATTTCTGGCTGTAATTTGTCTTCTTTATGATTATCATGCATGATGCATATTCATTTATTCATGGAAGATAGGAGTTCTTGGCAGTTATCAAGTCTGTTTTCCAGGATTGTGGCCTGTTGCAACTATTTTAACATTTTTTAGATGCCCAAGCAGTAAACTGATAAAGAAAAGAAGAGAAAAATAAACATGCAGGGTTTGTTTATTTTTCAATCCATCTGATTTTACAGACTCCCTTCTCTGCCAGATTAATTTGTCTGTGCAATATTATGAAAGGCATGGAAAAATTGGGATAGAGGCTTTATCTTAGTTCATTGATCTCTTTCATTACCTCACCGGATGAAGGCCAGTGCTATTTGAGTTATTTCTTTACCAAACCATTTGACAAGTTGAATGTTGGCCTACTCCATCTGTTAGGAATCAGATGTGGATGCCAGAATGATGAAGCCCAAAAACCAGAGGTTCAATTTTTATTTAAGTCAAAGCTGCTTAATGTTCCGGTGCTTGAGAAACTGACATGGTGAAAACAAAGCCAGCAAATTGATGAGTAACTTCATAACTAAGCAATCTTTCTTTACCTCCCTCTGTTGTTTTGGCATTTCATGTAAATTCATATGGGGACAGTCTCTGTTGAACTGACACAGTGGAACTCATATTTGATCATTTTGTTCTTGTAATTGTTTCCCTTAAGTGCAGTTAGTCTGACTATATAGAAGCTCTTTTTTTAATTTGTTATTTTCATCTTCAATATAATATTTTGTTAATGATAAAAAGAAAAAAATCGTAATTAATCGGTTTTAGTTTTTAAATGTTCTGAAATATGATCTTCTGTTTTCTTGTCACTTTATCTAGCTTTTTTAATCTGTGCAGAGCCTTTGGTGCTTGCTTATTCATATAGGTTTCTTAAATTAAATTGAATATTATTTTCAACATTTATGGAAATTTAATCAATTTTAATTTCAGTTATACATTTCACTTTTGGTTTAGCAAACCCATATAGTTGGGAAGGTCTTCTTTGGTTATCCAAGATTTCAATTCATTTCCTTCTAAGTGTGTAACTTATAGGACATTAGAGATTTGAACATTCAAAGAGAATCATTATGTATATACTTATTTCTCTGAAAGAAACCTTCATCCTAATGGTTGTGGAGATTTCTCCTGGATAAAAACAACCTTTGGTACAATGACATAAAAAAAAAGAAAAAAAAAAACATTTATGGTTTATGGTCAAATGGTTGGGAATGTGGGTTTATTGTCTAGAGCTACTATTTTTTCAATAAATAACAGGAAAAGAACATTATAAGAAACTTATAAACAGTAATGCACAAATATGGCCACACCCTTATATATACAAAGAAACCATGAGATCATATCTCTTGCTGTCTCTCCCAATTTGTATGAAATTGCAACTGAACCCAAAAGACTTGATTTCTATTCATCCTTTGCTTTGCAAGCGAGTCACCCAAACTATTAGTAAACCTTTGAACCCATGTAGCCTTTAATTACAAAACGAGTTATTATTGCTTTGCCATGGAAAGCCAGCTCCACTTTCTTCCCCAATTCCTCCAGGCTGTGTTTGGTTTGAAGGAAAAGAAGGAAAAGAAGGAAAAATTGGAATATTCCAATTATTCCCTTGTTTGGTTTGACCCCAAATGGGGAAAAGAAAAGAAAATGAGAGGATTTAAAATCATGAAAATGAGGATACAGGATCCTCCTGCTTTGGTAGGAAACCGCTTCCCCTGAGAAAGGTAAGTAAACTGAGGAAAGAAAATCGAGAGGCTTTTCTATTCATTCTTACAGTGACCAGAGAGGTGACAAGTTCAAAGCAAAAACAGTGCAAATCAACATCAACTAACTGCATTCCAGCAACAGTGGTGATTCACGTATACTACAGCAGTACAGCGACCAGAGAGATGATAAGTGGAAGTAAGTTTGGATCTGACTTCACCTGGTTCCTCTCAGGCAGACCTAAAATGTTTTAGATTTTGTGACTAGAAAACCCTTACTTCATCGGCTGGTTTTGTTATTGTTTTTTTTTTTCAACTGAGATGCCTCTGTTGTTTGGTTTTTCTGTCTGGTTTTGTGACTCAAGTGATATTCATGTTGGTTTGGATAACAAATAAATAACAGATCTACAATTTGGTCTGTCTCTTTCTATTTCTGTGTTATGGCAGGCTGTGTGGTTCTTACAGAGACACAGACCAGATGCATGGGAATAGGGAGGGAGGGTGTTTGCTAAGACACCCATAGAAGCATGCCCAGAGACGTCATCATCTCCCTTTTTTTATTCAGCTTCTACTCATTTCTTCCCATATATCCCTTCTTTAGTGATTCAGTCTTATAGTGTCCTTCCCTGCCCTGCAAGACATGTAAAGTCGTGTCTATCTTGCTTATGTCAATAAGAATACGAGGTCGAAACCTAGTCGTACAAAGAAACAGGTCAAACAAACATTGCTTAATGTTGCCTAAATAATTTGACATATAATCATTGTCCTTCCTAGAAAAAATGATCTCTCATATTGTTATTGGAAAATAACTTTTATCTATTTGTTTTTTGGAATATTTGATAACTTCTATTTTTTTTTTATTGGAGATGACTTTACATGTACTGTAAATATTTATTTTGTTTATGGACATGCTTGTATTTGTCTGTATTGGTACTTGCACCAGTATGATATGTACTATCTATTAAGCTTCTCTTCAGGTGAAGCAAGTGTATGATTATACTGCATGTTTTAGTATTACTGAGGTGTGTGTGCCATGACTAGGTGCATCATCTGTCCGGTATTTGGTGCTTCTGTGGCTTGACTTATAGGAGCACTGCACAAGGCCAAGATGTATCCATATATTTATGTACACTTTGGATGCCAATTTACCTGTACTGATCTATGACTATCAACAGTAATCACTTTTATTTTGTTCAAAAAATGGACGATATTGATGCACTGATTCACCCTCTATATCTACATAATGAACAAAGGTGCTTTGCATTGTGGGTGCCCATGAGGAAGGAATATGAAATTACTCTTTTACATTACATTTCTTTTTAATTAATTAATCAATTGATTTCTTGGTTCTGGGTGTTACCAAAATGGAGGTAGAGTTCATGTATTCTGTCCTAGTTTGTTCTATTTTGAGCATAGGAAACTTGCCAATACTAGGATCATCCCAATAGTTCTGGTTTACTATTGGCTTCAACAAAGTTCTGGTTTACTATCTTGAGAAGAATAGTTCTTGAGCCCAAAGAAACAGAAACAGAAAAAGGAAATAATCTTTCACAAGCAATGAGAAAATATATAGATAATCCCTTTATGGACTGAACAAGTCCCATAGGTTTAGTAGGCCAAGTACATTTCTTGGTCTAGATTAAGTTAATTGAAATTCCAATTTTATTTACACGGGAACCAAATCTTCCATGAATTTAGTTTTACCAATAAAACAGCACATGCTTTATAAGTACTATCAAGAACTAGAGCCAAACACTTCAGTACTAACAGAATGCATAATTACTAAGCTGACCAGCTAATTATATGCATTAGTATTACTGACCAGCATTCCATGTCAATTACTAGTAAGATGGCAGAGTGAACCTTACCAATACACAACAAGAACCTTCAATGTCCTTTTTTTCCCATTCCTATTGGTTCTCATTCTGAGCTTAAGGCTGTGGTTGCAATGCGAATTTATTTGCACTGATGCAAAACCATGGTAGCACAAATGATTTTGATGCAAATTATGATTTATTTTTATTTCAAAATTGACCTTATTTTGTTTGATTGCAGTAAAAAAGACCTGAAACAGAATAAAGTAAAACCCAAAATAAAATTAAGCCAAAATTTGCATTCTTTTCATTTGCACTCCCCATGCATTTGTACCAGTGCAAATGAAATTGCACTGCAACCAAACACGGCCTAAATGAAAATGACAGAAAAGAAATAAAAAACATTTCCAAGTGATTAGTTTAAAGAACTTCATCATGGACTTGTGTTTAGTTTCAATAGGGGAGGTTTCTTCAATACAGATTATTAGTCTTGCAAAGTATGGGTTGAAAGGGATTTTTTATACAGTGACAGATCTATGCCTGAGTGGTTTTTGTATCATAGAGCTAAATTGTTCATAAAAAATCTATATTTTTGTCAAAATCTCTAAAAGGCCAAATTGGGTTTTACCAACCCCATATATGTTTTCTTTGCAAAAGAAACAATAAATCCATCTACCATTTAGAATCCAAACCAAGTAGAATTAGATTTTGTAGAAGGGATTTTGATGAACAAACGTAAAACCCATCTTTTCTTCTAGCTCACATAATGGACGTTAATGAGTCCTTTGTAGTCTGTTCCTACCTACTTACATGAACTGATTTGGAAGGCAGACCCATTGATAACAGAGGAGCCTTCAAAGAGTTAGCTGACTTTGAAGAGGAACATATACAACAAAAAGTGCCTCCCTTCCATAGTCGACATAAGCTTCAAGCATAGCCATGTTTACGGTGATGTTGGGGCTCGGAGCTGGTCCGGCAATCCCAGCTCGTTCAAGAAGCAGTGTCCCAGAGAGAACAAAACCTTTGCAAGAGTACCAAACGAAGAAAGAACGGGGAATGCGCAAAGCGCAATAGTTATACCCGTTCGAATGTAGTAGTAGTTGCTACGACGGTTATCTCTCAGCAGTGGTGGAAGAACATGGCGTCCGTGAAATCGGTGGCACCGGCGTTGTAGTTGCAAAATGTAGATGTGGAAGTGGAAGCAGGGCGGCTACCGGTGGTAGTATAACAACGGAGGAGCGTTTATAGTCGGGTGACTCCGGTCTAACTTTAACCCACGGGTGATGTGGGCCGGATGCATCCTACGACGCTTGTTTCCATGCCCCCTATCTCCACCGTGTCGAGTGTCGACTGTCCAGTGTCCACGACTCGTCTCGTCCATAGACATTCCTCCTCTTTATTTGTCTCTTGCTTACTTGGACTACTGTTATACGCTTTACAGAAGACGCAGAGACAAGAGAGCCAAGTAAGCAAGCCTTGTCGATTTGGTGATGGCAGTTTCAGGGTTGGCTATTGCAGGTTCACCTCTGACCTCCCCTTCTCTCTAAGGTATCGTTTGACGTGGGTGTGTATGTAACGGTCTCGTTTGTCGCTTCCATATTTTTAATGATAGTTCGGTTTGTTGCAGGTTCACACCTCTCCTCCGCTCTAAGCCTGAGGTCTCGTTTTTTTTTTTTTTCATTTCCCTTCTTTTCTCCATTTAGCTTGAATATCTAGGTTTTTTTGTTCTTGGGTTTACTTTGTCCTATTGGCCACAGTTGCCATGGGTAGCTACCACACTCCGGCCACGGAAGCTCAAGGGTCGATTAAATGGTTTACCACTACTTGCTCGACAGTCACAGGTGCAGGAAGCTCAACCTTCACTTGTCGTTTCCGCTGCACACGACCCATCAGCGACAATCGCCAGACTCCAACGATACCTTCAAATCAACACAGCCCACCCCAACCCAGACTACGCCGCGGCAGCAGAATTCATCCTCTCTCAAGCCAAATCCTTATCCCTCGCATCACAAACCATAGAATTCGTCGAGGGCAAGCCCGTAGTCCTCCTAAAATGGCCTGGTTCAGACCCTACCCTCCCTTCAATCCTGCTCAACTTCCACACCGACGTCGTTCCCGCCGAGCACCACAAATGGGCTCACCCTCCTTTCGATGCCCATGTGGACGAGGGTGGCAATATATACGCAAGAGGGTC